CTAGCCGTCGAAAGTCAAACCAAAACGCATTCAACTAACACTGCAATACTACTTGAAGTGGTATGCGTGGCGCATCTCAAAAAGATTCAGTTCAACGTAGGATGCTTCATTTTTTTCATGTCGAACAACGAATTCAAGTTGTCTAGGCACTCATCTGTTTCAGAGTCCTAGCCTGGCACGATATGCTCAAAGACTTTGATACAAGACTCATCGCCCAGCTCGAATTAGGTAACGTGATCGAGCCCGTGATATGGGATTACTCGGAGAATATCGTGACTATGCCCGGTTCGTTTCTATTTTGTTCTATTTCTTTTGAAGCCGTGCCCAAATGGTGTAACGTGGTATTAGTTCACTGGAAAAGAGTTGACCAGCACTGCGCTTTACGGTGTTCTTTACCTTGCTTGTTCACCTGGCAGCTTCATTTTGTTTTTGTAGGGGCCATTCGCTTATCTAGACCTTGTAGGGCATTTTGGGCTAGATAAGCGAATGGTTCCGAGTTTCCTCCGGGAACATTTTCAACGATTTTTTTCCACGCTGATTGTGTGGGCGGAGACGTGACGGCAACGGCCAGCCATTGTGTCTTTCTTATTTGGGCACCTTTCCTCTTCATCGTTGAGGAGCGCCATTAGGGCATGCGCAAGTGATAGGCCTGACTCCGCCCCGACAATGAGCGTGAAGCAAAGTTTTTAGCTCACTTTATGGTATTCCAGATGCGTCTTTTGCCGCAGATCGCCAACAACTTTCCCATAGTTTGGGCGTCATCAGCTTTCAAAGGAGCGAATTTTCCATCCGCGAAATATATGGACATTCGTCACTATGAAACGAATAACAGAGCATGGATCGACACGAAAATTGTGAGTTCTACACCAAAATTCGAGGCAATTTTGAGCGCTAATTGCTCGAAAAAAAGGGTGAGGGTGGGGCGCGTTGAGGATTCGCTGTACAAAAGTAGGATTATCATGATGGGATGAAGACTTCTGCTTACGGCTTGAAGAGGAAAAGCTCCAAGATGGATAAACCGATTTTCAAGTACGGCAGTTTTATTCCGGCGCAGCTGGCCTCGTCCTACGCTGGTCAATACCTGTCGGGGTCTCACTTGCTAGCTGGAGGAGGGGGGCGGGTTCGTAGGTCACTGAGAGACACTTCTGATAGCTGATTATTCCTGTTCCAAGCGTGTCACCGACATCGGTGGGAGACTCGTTTTGGGAAGGGGGAGGGGTAGGGGTCGTAATTGCTCATCGCCTAATGAATTCTTATCTGACTTCGAGAAAAAGTAGAAGAAGTAGGAGGTTAGAGAAAAGTCAGTAAAATGGTAGGAAGGATGAGGAAGGCTGTCGTATAAGAGGAGGAATTCGAGGGAGGGTCTTATAGTTAGTTCGCATAGGTTCTTCCTAGCGACAGGGCACTACCTGAATGACGGTAATTCCGGTCCTTCCAAGTAATCTGTAATGCCTCCACTTTTAAACATATAACGCCTACTCCAATTGATTCTTGGCTTTGAAGTTAGAAGCACATTCTGACCCCGTGTGCGGGGACTATGACACTTTGCGAGCTCCTTCTTTTCACCCCCAGAGGGAAACTCGAAGGGGAGGTGTACTGTCTGATTATGTCCGCCCATACAACCATCGCGGAAACCATCGACCATCACCTTCCTTTTCACCTTTCTTCAATACAGACTAATTCGGCAATTTATTTTTTGTGAATTCCAGGCCCAGCAAGGAAAGTTTGCGAAATTCCATGGTATTATCATCACTGGATGGCAAAGTAGTTTGTTAATTATTATTATTATTCATTATTAAATGGGTGTGGTCAGGAGATCGGGACGCGCGATGGCGCAGAAAGTAGCGCAAGAGGTTCCGCCCATTTTCTAATTAGCTGCGCTTAATGCGTTAATGCCTCTAGATACTGGTGCGTAAGCCGGCGATATTGGAAGCCGCGTGTATCTACTCGGATCTCCTGAGCAACACTATTATATTTGCCAATCCTCCTGCACGTTCTATTGTCTTTCCCATGACGACCAGCAAAGTAATTGCGTCTTTTTCCCAGATGTTCCCAGGAAAAACCTTCTGTTTAGATATGACCACATGGCGGCCATTTGCGAAATATGGCCCATAGGGACGCCGTCGATGGTACTGAACGTGCAGATTGCAAATATGGGAGCCTCAAAAGTGAGTGATAATGAGCGCTAGTGTGAAGTTCCGCGACTGGAAAGTCGTGGCAAAATTCCCATAGGAAAAATGTGTTTCAGGATTTCAACCTGGCCCGGGATCGAGCAGCCCGAGTGCTCGGATGCAGAGATTTTCATGTTGGCGGTTTGGATCTGGTCAGCAATAGATGTACCAATTACACCGGTAAGTGACGTTACTGTTATGTATAGCCCATTTGTATGGAGGGGGTTGGGGGAGAAGGCAAGAGCGGCTTCTTGGCGTGGCGACCATTTCAATGCTGAAGCAGCCAGTTCATGCTACCTGTCTAAGCATCTTTTTTGCTTTCGCTGGGAAGCAGGGTCTAGAGCGGAGTCACTTGCAAAAAAAGGGGTTACTGAGGAGCTAATCGCGCCTGTAACGCTCTACCTTGCAATTTTTCGCCGCCCACACTTGTGCGATGCTCGCGTTGCGAACGCCTACATTGCGCCTTGCAATTCAAATATATTCGCAGTAAAATCATTGCTTCAATAGGTCTGAAAAACGAAATCAAGATTGTGTGCAAGATTCGCTGGTCTATCTCGTTATTCCAAGGCACTGCTCAGCAAACAATAGCCTACATAGAAGCGGAATTACAGAAGAATCATCACATTATGGGTTGGCTATCGCCGTACAACATGCGGCACAACTTTACACAAAATTGGTGAGTTTTGCGTTGACCGGTGCCTCTTTCGGATGCGCCATGCGTTCTATTCTCATTCAGAATCGTGTGACATTTCAAACCCGTTTTGGTTTACACAAGACATTGGGTGCGTTGATCCTTAGGCGGCAGCTTCCACTAGGACCAATAGCGTCCACAACCGTTCCGAGTGTCCGGTAGCGTCAGCGACTAGGAGGTATCGATCAAGCGTCTGCCAGCGTCTGCCAGCGACCAGCAGCGTTTCGAGGGTCAGGGAAGTATAATTATCGATCTAGCGTCTGCGAGCGTCTACCAGCGACCAGTAGTATCTGGGAGTGGAGAGTATGGAGCGATAGGAGGGTAGCAGACAGTTGGTAGAGTACGGGGAGATAGAGGGTAGCGTACTGCTGGTAGAGAGTATGGCGTTATAGGAGGGTAGGAGACAGTTAGTACCCTCCTATCGCCAGAGTCTGCTGCTAGCCGCTGGCGGAAGCTATTAGACGCTGCCAGACGCTGGCAGACACTAGATTGATACCTGTACTTACCTAGCCCTCGGACGCCGCTGGTAGACGCTGGCAGGCGCCTGATCTATATCTATGCTTTCCCAGTCGCTGACGCTGCAGACGCTCGGAACGCTGGTGGACGCTGCCGCAACGTATGACCGCAGCCTTGCGGAGACTGACTGATAAACGAGGCAGTGTTTTTACCATAAACGACATTTGACGCTATCGGAAAGATGGGAGGCTTTGATGGTCCACACGGGGAAACCGGCACGAGATTTAGCTAATGGATCGTGAGTGCTGTGCTACTTGCCACTGCAGCAGCTTCGCCTCATTCTTTTTCTTCAAAAACTGTCTTGTGCCTCGGCTGGACCCCGACTGTTGAGACCAAATATGCATTCAATTGCCAGCACGATTCTGAATGGATACCGAGTGCATGGAGCATTTGGTCGATTTTGCAAAGAACAAACGATATAACTTTTCATAAGGGCTTTATCGTTTCAGGTACCTTGGTCAGATACAGTTCTTCGTAAGCAGTCTTCATTCACAGATCAAATCGATTGAAATCAGCCTTAGGTATGTTTTATGTGTGTACATATCAGTACTGTCCCTGGAAGTGCAAAACAGTTCCCTATTGGTAGAAAACGGAGGGAGTGGGCCAAGCCTTCTGGTTTCGCCCCGACTAACTGCAATTATAACACCTGTGCCTTTGTATTCGTGACATGTTATAGAAATCTGTGATATAGGTCAAAGCCATAAGGTAAGATTGCTGAAAAACAGTAGCAGGGTGCTATTTATTGGAAAAATGGCGAAAAGCGAAGTAACAACTTCGTTCTGCACGGCATTCTACGAGCACTTCTGGACGAGTTTTTGCCGTTGGCATCGTACCAACGACCGCTTTGGAAGATACGGCTACACGCATAAATTCGCATGTAGCAGCGCTTTATATCAGTTGTACTTTGAAAATGAAGCGATAAGAATGTCAGCATCGATGTGACTATTCGGCCATTTGTGGGCGGGCGGTTGCGGTGCGTCTGAGTCGGCATTGCACCT